TTGAACCTGAACAAAATTTAAGACTTTACCTAAAAAAGAACAAAAAAATATCGCGACCTATATAAGAGTCTGAACTACATTCATCAACTCTGAACGGCCTAAACAGCAATTTGCAGCCTATTTTTTGGCCAACAGATCCGAGAAACTGTATACAAACTGATACTTTGGACTGGAACATATATGACTGGACTTCAACTAGCATCCATCTATGCTACCTTAGTTAGCGTGTAATAAAAAAACCTCCGAAGTGCTTCCGGAACACATGCTTGGAGCAATGAGGCAACTGGAGGATTGAGCCAGGGTATATAAATTTCAAAAAGAAAGCAATAGCAGGTTGCTGTGCACAGAATGTTCCAATCAACTTTTTTGCCAAGCACTGAGAGAGGATTAAATTAGATAATTTTCAAAACTGAACTGATTATGGGTAAAATGCAGCTTCAAATGCAGTAGAATTAATTATGACTCTGTGAAATAAGTGTAAACTCCGTGTAATAATCCGTATTTATTTCAATGTAAATTAGTGTAAACGGAAAAACCGACCCATTTTATTGACTTCTCTATCTTTTTCGAAATGTCTTGAAATGCATGTTTTGGTACTACGATAGTTGATTCCATACGAGCAAAAAACATTCCCATTTAAAGATATCGGGAGGGTCGGAACAAGAGATGCCTCAGTTTTATCGGCCATGATCTTTAAATTTCTACGTATAATTCATTCTTGGGACTTCTACCTCTAAGGAATGAGTTGACGCGCCCAGATACATTTCAAATCAAGTCCCATGCCCGCCAAGCATGGTAGCTTGATTGCTGCGACATCGGGAAACCAGTTATGACTTCTATCATACCGGGGATGTTTTGTCTTGGGATTTTTATCTGGCTAATAATGTACCTTTTAAAAAAAATTCAAAATCAAACAAAATGGGCTGAAACTTAGAAATAATTGGTATTTAAAGGGTGTAGTAAAATTATAGGCAACCTATTTAGAAAAAAAACACACAATCAGTATAGTCTACGTCTACCAAATATTTATTTTGTTATGCTGATCATGTTTCCAAGATAAGCTACAATTTTAAATTATTATTTCAAATTTAAGCAGGCAACAACTAGCACTTTTTCAGACCGCTAATTTTATGACCAAAGGCTTCTCTTCGCCTCTGTAGAATGCCGTTCTTATATGTAGTAAATTTTTACATCTATATAATGACTTACGTTAGCACTTGGGTCTCTCTATTGACCCAAGCACTGCTACTGAGGGTGCAATTCTAAGTTGAGAGAGTCGCTGCTTTGGCAACGGTTAAATACAAGTAGTAACAAGAAGAAGGATAGGAAGAGAGAGACAGAGAAATATGGGCACGTGAGAGAAGAAAGTTCTACTGCAGAGTTGAACCGCCGAGTGAGGGAACTGTCTAGGACCTACACGTTTCTCTATTTATGCTGGGGCTGCAGAAGTTGCCCACAAATGTTTGGCTAATCAAAATTGCTCAATCTGATAGCAATTTTCAACTGAACTTTAACCGGATTTTTTGAAACTCAAAAAAAAAATACATGCCCTGAAAGCTCTTTGAATTTCTAGAACAATTTATGATTGGCATTTTGTTGTTTATGATTGGCACTTTAAACTTTTGCTGTTCGATAGTGGAGTTTGCCTTCTTTTTAACAAAGGAAACGAGCTGAACTTGAAAAGAAAACAACAACCAAACCGCTAAAAAGTAAATTTGAACCTGAACAAAATTTAAGACTTTACCTAAAAAAGAACAAAAAAATATCGCGACCTATATAAGAGTCTGAACTACATTCATCAACTCTGAACGGCCTAAACAGCAATTTGCAGCCTATTTTTTGGCCAACAGATCCGAGAAACTGTATACAAACTGATACTTTGGACTGGAACATATATGACTGGACTTCAACTAGCATCCATCTATGCTACCTTAGTTAGCGTGTAATAAAAAAACCTCCGAAGTGCTTCCGGAACACATGCTTGGAGCAATGAGGCAACTGGAGGATTGAGCCAGGGTATATAAATTTCAAAAAGAAAGCAATAGCAGGTTGCTGTGCACAGAATGTTCCAATCAACTTTTTTGCCAAGCACTGAGAGAGGATTAAATTAGATAATTTTCAAAACTGAACTGATTATGGGTAAAATGCAGCTTCAAATGCAGTAGAATTAATTATGACTCTGTGAAATAAGTGTAAAATCCGTGTAATAATCCGTATTTATTTCAATGTAAATTAGTGTAAACGGAAAAACCGACCCATTTTATTGACTTCTCTATCTTTTTCGAAATGTCTTGAAATGCATGTTTTGGTACTACGATAGTTGATTCCATACGAGCAAAAAACATTCCCATTTAAAGATATCGGGAGGGTCGGAACAAGAGATGCCTCAGTTTTATCGGCCATGATCTTTAAATTTCTACGTATAATTCATTCTTGGGACTTCTACCTCTAAGGAATGAGTTGACGCGCCCAGATACATTTCAAATCAAGTCTTATGCCCGCCAAGCATGGTAGCCTGATTGCTGCGACATCGCGAAACCAGTTATGACTTACATCATACCGGGGATGTTTTGTCTTGGGATTTTTATCTGGCTATTAATGTACCTTTTAAAAAAATTCAAAATCAAACAAAATGGGCTGAAACTTAGAAATAATTGGTATTAAAAAGGGTGTAGTAAAATTATAGGCAACCTATTTAGAAAAAAAAACACACAATCAGTATAGTCTACGTCTACCAAATATTTATTTTGTTATGCTGATCATGTTTCGAAGGTTTGCTACAATTTTAAATTATTATTTCAAATTTAAGCAGGCAACAACTAGCACTTTTTCAGACCGCTAATTTTATGACCAAAGGCTTCTCTTCGCCTCTGTAGAATGCCGTTCTTATCTGTAGTAAATTTTTACATCTATGTTGACTTACGTTAGCACTTGGGTCCTCTCTATTGACCCAAGCACTGCTACTGAGGGTGCAATTCTAAGTTGAGAGAGTCGCTGCTTTGGCAACGGTTAAAAACAAGAAGTAGTAACAAAAGAAGGATAGGAAGAGAGAGACAGAGAAATATGGGCACGTGAGAGAAGAAAGTTCTACTGCAGAGTTGAACCGCCGAGTGAGGGAACTGTCTAGGACCTACACGTTTCTCTATTTATGCTGGGGCTGCAGAAGTTGCCCACAAATGTTTGGCTAATCAAAATTGCTCAATCTGATAGCAATTTTCAACTGAACTTTAACCGGATTTTTTCTCTATCTATGCATCTTTCACCCAAAAGTTAACCAAGTTTTCGACATGCTTGGTGGTATATTAACAACAAAATCTACACAGAGGCGAAGCGGAGCTTCGCACCACTTGCGATTAAACACAAACATATACAAACCCTGAGGTCGAAAAAATGGAAAACGAAAAAATTAGTTCTACCAAAAATTAAATTTTCGTAAGCCTCGATAGAAGTTCAGTCAAGGCTAACATGGCTGAAATTTGAGTATTAAATTAGCAACGGAACAAACCTTACCCGACACAAGTTGACCAGAAGAAAATATGGTTTCAAATCCCACTTGAGACTAAAATAAACAACAGTTGTCTTTTCAACTACAAGGAAAGTTGCCTACAGCACAAGAAAAGAAAAATCAGTGTTGTGGCAACTAAGCCGACAATCTTTGAGCAGACAACTGTTGCGCCAAAAATGATTGAAAAATTTTGAAAACTTTCAAGTCCACTTCCCTGGACCTACAAAGAACAACACTTGCACTTGCAAGGAAAGTTGCCTACAGGACAAACAAAGTGTGTGATGTAAACGGAAGTCTAGTAATTCAATTTTTACAATTATTTTTTTCCAATTGCATACATACTTAAAAAACGAGGCCCGACCAAGAGTCGAACCCCATATCTTTGAGCACAAAGGTTACGACGTTAACTCTAGGCCAAGTGCAAAAGAACCTGGAGGTTGTGAAGGTTCAATAAAAAAAGCAATTGAAGAAAAGTTGAAAAATGTAATAAAAGATGTTTACTTGGAATTTTTATTCCCGATTTCAAGACACTTGCTCTCGTAAGAGTAATAATAGCTGACTTTGTCAAACAGGAAATTTTGCCCCTGAATTAACGCAATGTAAGCTCATCATACCATAAAACAAACCAAAACCGTTTAATCGAAAATAATTATATTCTGTGCCAAGTTATTTACGGGAAAAAAAGTCCAACGTCCAATTGCAATACCCTTGCTTATCGCAAGGGTAATTACATGGATAAAACTATGGCCACAGATTACTTTAGTAGACATAGAGAAAAAATAATTTGAGCAACTGAGCTCGTGCTACTAGAGGTTCAGCTTATACATAGCCAACAGACAGTTAGAAAAAAGTCAATGAACACAAAAAAAACGGAAACAAAAAGCTGACTTGTTTTTTGAAAAACTTTCGTTTTCAAGAAAAAATAGATGCCCTTAAAGCTCTTTGGTTTTCTAAAACAATTTATTATTGGCCTTTTTTTTGATAAAATTAACCAAATTCGAGATAGTAAAAATTTTATTTCGCTGGGAAATCTGAGAATTTAATTCCACTTTCGGAGCTAGAAGTCGATCACGTTTTTCGTGACCTTTACACTTTTGCTGTTCGATAGTGGAATTTGCCTTCCTTTTAACAAAGTAAATGATCTGAACTGAAAAAGAAATTTAAAAGTCCAGCCGCGAAAAAAGTATATTTGAGACTGAAAAAGTTTTAAGACTTTTCCTGGAAAAAAAAACGAAAAAAAAACCATCGCGACCTATATACGAGACTGGAGTACGTTCATCAACTGTTAAGACAGAACGCATTTCTTTACTAATTTTCGTACATAATATTTTCTACCAAATAGCTAGCGCTGATCGGTTTTCAAAAGAATGTTCGCTAACGGTGTCGCATATGTGGTAAAACACTGGTTGGCTGTATAGATCTGACCAACTTGCATGCCGGTCCTTTTCGTTTAAACAAACCGTCTCGCACTCAAAAAATCAAGCAGGATAAAAATTAATTCTACAATAGAGCGTTGTTGACATTCAGAAAATAGGAACTCTAAATCCAGAAGAATGATTGCGACTGTTCTGTGCTATAAATATTAACAATTTCTGATCTCATTTGATGAACTTGATATAAATAACTGCGAACAAGATGATGATTTCGAACAGAATGATCCCCATCAGCAACAACTTGTTTGAAATTACTCTGAAACACAAACATACACGGTTTGACACATCTCGATATCAAGTCAAAATGTTCGCAGCTACAAACTGAGTCGTTAATTATAAAATGATAACGACGAAAAATCAAAATGAAGAAGCATTTTGTCTAACCTGCGGTGCATGGTGTTAAGGAGTTTGCGAGACTTTGACAACTCGGCTTTCGTGTCATCCAGCTGAAGCAAAAAGAAAACGTGTCTGACTACCTTGAAGTTATTCTATTCATAATCTGAGTACTGTTGTAGCAATAGTGCTCTATGATTAAAACCGAAAGGAAAAAATTTTGCAGAGGTTGAAAACTCGACTATGAAAATGATTGTACCAAATTTCAACTAAGACCATGACGAAACTGAGCCATATACGAGAGGATTGACAAATTTACAATCAGCTCATTCCTCAGGACAAGGAAATGTTTACTCAGCCTCAAACAACGAGCAACCCAGAACAATGAAGAACTATAGTTTACCTTTCGACTGGTTCTCTGGAGCTGTTCCCTCTGGGTTCCCAACTCGCCCAGGATCTCCACGCCTATCTCCTCGTTCTCGGCCGCCACCCGCTGAGTCCTGGCCACACTCTCGCTCGCTCTGTTCAACACATCTGTGCCAAACATCACCTGCTGTCTCTGTCGATCCTCAAGAGTCTAGAAATCTCATCATTTGTAGCTTATTTCAACAAAGACATGAGTATCTAGTGATTTTTTTACTTCCCAAAACATGGAAAAAGTTTCTAACAAAACGATGAAATGGCTTGAAATTCTGGATTCAGTTGTCGCACAACCAGAATTTTCACAAAAACCAATCATTCAAGGAATGAAAAATTTGTTATTGAGTTAATCGAGTAGCGATAACTAAAAAATGGCTATTTCAAATCTGGAAGAGATAACAAACACAGTAGAAAGAGAGAAGATAGACAATCCTAAACTTAGCAGCAGTAATTCTCAGCTGACTTACTGCAATGTCTGCTCTTGGGTCGTAGATACTGCTACTTCCAGGAAACCCTCCGCCCCTCGATATACTCTGGTTGGTTCGCACTGACTTCTACAAAATAAAAATGGCACAAATTAAAAACACCTGCTCACTTGCAGAAAGCATGTCAGACATTCGAAATGTCTAGTAAATGTTAGTAGCGATCAGCATATCATAAGGCAAAAAAATATCAGATTGAAAATAGCATCAAAAATTAAAAATTTTAGTTATGATTTATGCCACGCAAGGACGAAGTCTCTTTGAACTTTTGTTCCTGAAGTGAAAACCCCATATAGTTGATTGGCTGTTGCTGGCCCATCATACGAGCCCTAGTGAAAAATTGATTGATCAAAGAGAGATGCACGAACAATCTCTCGGTTGATGGTGTCGACGTCTCTCTGCAGCGAGCGTAGCTTGGCATTCATCATGGTCCTGTATTCTGCTGGTGCCACTGACACCTCCCTTTCCATGCTTTGCAGCTGAAACAAACAATCAGTCTAATCACTTATAGTTTTCAGACTCCCTGACACAGCAGAAGCAAGCAGTAAAAAGCGGTGACTTCATTAACTAAGCTACACAACTTCAAAAATAAGACCAAGTCCACTGAAAAAATTCGTTTTCAACAAGGGAACAGACTCGATTTTTTTACACAACTCATAACAATACAACAATCCCGTCTTGGAAGAAAAGCATGCAGCCTAGTTAGCTGCCTAGTTAGAAAACTTAAAGACATTACATAAACTTTACAAACTTTAACACATTATATGAACTTAGTAGAACAAACTTGTTATTGATATTAGAAATACTTTTGTAATACGATCATGCCTAGCAGCCGACCAACCAAAGACAATCACACTCATTGCTGATACAAGAAGTTCTCGGAGCAATTATTTCCCGAAACAAACTAACTTGTCTGTAAGCAGCTTCGACTCCTCGTTCCGTTTCGCCAAGCAGTCTCTCACATTCATCCGGAGATGTCTGGGCGGACTTGAGTTTGCGAGATATTCTGTTCTTGTAGTCTGCCACAAATGAAGCCACATTCTCTTTCGTCCGCTCAAAATTCTCTGAAGACATGGTTAATCTGAAAACAAAATATTCGTTTTTAACATGAGAAATCTTACACACAGCGGTAGAGACGAGCTTCCTTGGCATCTGCGATACACCCTAAAATTGGCATGGCAAGCTAGGAGACTTAAAATGAGACGAGAACTACAAAGCAGAAAGATAACATCAACAAAAAATCGAAAAAACTGCTTTTTTTATTAGCCCCCGGTCCGGCTCAATGCGGATGACACTCGGATTCCTCCAACACTCACCGAAGTGGGATTCACTGTTGAAGGGGTCCCAGCGTCATCCGCCTCAAGGCGGAAAACTGCCTCTGCCAAAAACTTATACATGTCTCGACAAATGGATTTCAACTTGATATTCAAAAAACAATTGCCAGCGTTAAATTAGTTAGCAGTAAATAGCCAAAAAAACTCAAACAGACGTCTGTTGAAACAAAAACAAAATTATTGTCACGAAACAAATTTAGCTATAACAAAGCGTTGCAACTATAAACCATAAGATCATTTACATCACCTCACCCCAAAGAATGCACGGGTTTTAAAATCTATCAAAAACCCCAAAATCACGCAATATGAGGTCTCTGCGACAAAAAAAAAACCAGGGCCGAATTTTATTAGGCCGAATAAAATTTTGTAGCGAAAAAAAAACGGAAATTTATAGAGAACCGAAGCTCTGAAATTTGCAATTAACTGGAACTAGCGCATGACCCGCACCTACGGTGCTTCAAATAGATCATTGCACGTTAGAGGAGCTTCCTAAAACATGTAATAAAAAACTTATTGCGACCATGAAGATGAACTGGGCTCATGTATCAGGCGTTTCTAATTCATAAGAAACGCCTATCTCGAAAAACGATTTGAGCAGTCAAATTTCAAGGGCAGATTTGCTACGCCGAATGCAAAAATCAAAAAATCATAAAACGCCATAGTCGATAGCCAAAATGATTTGAGCAGTCATACTTAGAGGCCAGATTTGCATCCCTTGAATGTACCCTAACAGAACCCCACAATAGTGTTAAGAAATTCAAATTCGGTTAGTTTTTTATATCTATGTTTTTTGGAAAAAAAAACATGAAAAACACCATCTCGAAAACCGTAAGTATTTGAACAGTCACACATGGAAGCTAGATTTGCAACCACTGATATTAGGGTTGACAAGTTCAATTTCGATAATTTTTATATCTAAACTTTTTGAAAAAAAATTTTAAAACGCTTTATCTCGAAAACCATAATGATGTGGGCTGTCATACTTGGACGCCAGATTTGAAAGCCCTGAGTTAACATTGACAGCAACCCCACTACAGCGTTGATAATTTCAAGATTAATTACTTTTGTCTACGTTTAAAAAAATGAAGAAATCAAAAAAACAAAACGCCATATCTCGAAAAGCAAAAGGATTTGAGCAGTCATACTTGGACATCAGATTTTCAACCCCTCAATTTACCTGCACAGCTACCCACTATAAGGCTGAGAATTTCATTTTGGATTAGTTTTTTTTATTTCTATGTTTTTTGAAGAAAAAAAAAATGAAAACATCATAAGAAAGCACCATATCTTGAATACCAAAAGGATTTCAGCAGTCACAATTGGATGTCAGATTTGCCAGCCCTGAATTTATACCCTGGCCGTACCATACAATAGGAATGAGAAGTTCATTTGGGGTTAGTTTTTTATATCTAAGTTTTTTGAAAAAAAAAAATGAAAAATCATAAAAAACGCCGTATCTCGAAAACCAAAAAGATTTGAGGCGTCATACTTCGACGCTAGATTTTCAACTATTGATTGTACCCTGATAGCACCCCACTTTAGAGTTGAGAAAATCAAGTTGGGCTAGTTTTTTCTCATACCTGACCTTTTGAAAAAAAAAATTGAAAAAAATCATAAAACGCCATATGTCAAAAACGATAAGGACTTGAGCAGTCATACTTGGACGCTGAAATTTCAACCACTGAATGTACCCTGATAGCACTCCATTACAGGGTTAAGAATTTCAAGTTTGGTTTTTTTATATCTAAGTTTTAAAAAAAAATCATACAAAACGCCATATCTCGAAAATCAAAGAGATTTGAGCAGCCATACTTGGAGGCCAGATTTGCAATCCCTGAGCTTACCCTGATAGCACTCCAATATAGGGCTGAGAAATTCAAGTTCCGCTGGTTGTTTTATATCTAAACTTCTTTTAAAAAATTGAAAAATCATACAAACTCCATATCTCGAAAACCATAATGACTTGGGCAGTCATAATTGGACGCTAGATTTGCAACCCCTGATTAAAGCCTGATAGCATCCTACTATAGGGTTGAGAGAATCTTGTTCGGTTAATTTTTATACCTAAATTTATTGTCAGAAAAAATTTAAAAATTATAAAAAAAATCGCCATATCTCGAAAACCAAAAAGATTGGAGCCATTATACTTAGACGCAAAAATTGCAGCCCTTGAGTTGCCCCTGATAGCACCCTACTATTGAGTTGAGAAATTCAAAAATAATTAAGTAAGTTGTGAAACATAAACTTTGATAGTTTTACGTTGCGAAAAAAGCAAAGAAAATGAAAGAGTTAAAGCATTCGAGCTCCAACAGATTCGGAAACGCTGATTTGAGTTAACTTTTCAACACTTGAAATGTTTTGGCCTTTAAACAGACCATGATAGGGACTTCTCAAACATGTGCCAAATGAAATTTCTTAAGCGTTTTATTATACGATATAGCTAAAACGTGCAAAAACACTTTCGTTAACCATGCAAAAAATAATACGTTGAAAAATTTAAACATGCAAACGTGAGTTATCTTGAACATGTTAGCATAGGGACTTCTTAAACATGTGTCACAAGAAACGCCAATTAAATAATTAACTGGAATAAATCAAAATGACTATCAGTTTTAGTGACATTAATTTGAATCTGAATAAGTCCATGTTGTTGAAATTGAGCAGAAAAAAAGTTTAAGCAGACAGATAATAGACCGACAATTCAACTATTCCAAAAAATTTCATTATCAACAGTACTGATTTAATTACTTAACTGTACAGTAATAGCAGTAATCCAGTGGTATAATTTGAGTTTTCAAGATTTGATCATTTCAAATTATCCAAGTGAAGGTATCGAACAATTTGTTAACCCGAAAAAAAATCTATAGTCTGATTTGATTACGTTTGCTCGTAGAAAATAAAAAGTTCTGTCGAGAGGAACTGGTTGAAATTTTCGGTTTTCCAGAATTTACAGCTGTATATCTAACTATTCCGGTCAATTGATCATCGCAATCTAATTTTCACTTCTCATTGTTTCAGTATCTACTGCCCAATTCCTGGACCTGAACTTCATCATCTCTCCAGGCACAAGAAGAAAATACAACAAAGTTTACAAAAATGAGCAAACAAAAAATGTAACAATTGGTTTACCCTCTACAAACAGCTCCAAAATTTCTTTCAGATTGCCTTGAATTATTTCCATAAACTAAGCCGCATTGTTATCCTCAAAAGATAGTAGAGGCGAGCTAATGATTAACTGCAATTGATTTCAGCAGAAGCTAAGAAACTCAATAACTTACAGCCCCAAAACAAGGTCGACTAAATTTCGACAGTCGACAAAACCCTACCTCTGATTTCACGGAAACTATTTTAAAGAAGCAACTTGGCTAATTTTTCTAATTTCTGGATGTTATACATAGTGACATACTGAGGTTTTTTTAAAGCTTTTGTCGGGTGCTAAAAAACTCAACATTTATTAGCACCAAAACAAGGTCGGCGAAAGTTTAAGAAACAAGTGCACTTGGATTGTGGGTTGCAGTTGCAACACGTGTAGACTTCTATTTTACACAGAGGCGACGCTGCGCTTGGCAAACACTTGCGAGAACACGACCAAAAAGCAGCTCAATCAAGTGAAATAAGAAAAGTAGAAATAAGCCTCGAATTATCAAAAAACTCGGCTACCTGAAGGATTCGAAGCTGCGACCTACTGCAATCAAGGGATTTTGAGTCTCAAGCACTGTCCACTCAGCCACGCAAGCTTAACAACCGATAAACACAATTCACGGATAAAGCAGCTAGATATCCTAATAACTTGCCAATGCGATTCAGCAAAATTGGCTCCAAATACAAATAGACTCAATTTAGCATGTAATAATTGGGAATATAACAAACTGAAAGCATCCACACTAACTTTGCATGCAACAAATTGCAAAGCATAAAGCCTCATTATGTATAAATTATGCATTTCAAAAAAAATTGCGAGATATATTGAGTTTAAAAATTTCTGATATCGAGTTTTCATTATTGTTAGGTTGTTTGAAACAAATCACTTTTTTCAGTTCATTTGATTAAATAAAAATGCATCAATTGTGTTAACTAATTACTATTCGAATGTCAAAGCACATACTATCAAAAAATCTGTAAGAGCCGCACTAATGGTTTCGACTTAGGTTGGAAAAAAAAGAAGGTTCTAGAAGTTCAACTTCGACTTCCTAGTATTCTGTTCACTCCATAAACTGAATAGGTAACAAACATTTTTTTGACTAACAATAAATACCGCATACAATTTAACTTGAAGTAAGCTTATGTCCTGAGGTAGCACATTGGGGTAACAGGTTCAAGGTCCAATATTTTCCCAGCTGAATACTTTTTCAGTCTCAATCTCTTTCAGCACAATTTGGCTGATTTCGTTTTCAGGAAACAAGGAAGCAAACTTTCTCAAAACGACGAAATTAACAAAAATCTTCAATCGAATCGAATCTTCGGCGATAAAATCTTCATTCTCATTTGAAAAATGTTCTTCAATTATCTCTTCGGCAATACATGCATGTTCATTCAGATATTCGTACTCTCCATTACTGTAGTTGGGAATCACTATTGTTTCTTCTCTGAGAAAACCAGTTGATAATAAACGAGAGAATATTGCTTCTTTGAGAGAGTTGACTCCTTTTAACTGGGTGGCTGAAGTCACTACTCTACTCGATTGGTTGCCAGTTATGAGATCATCGGAGAGGCGACTTTCAAGTTCGCTATAACACAAACATTTGGAGCGGACTTTAAAATCCTCCTTAAATATCTGAAGATTTGGAAATTCAAATAAACAACAACATATCAGTCCTTCGCTCACTGAACTTTTTTCCGAAAGCAGCGTTCAAACCTTTTCAGTTACCCAGATGATTTTTCTCCTTGAAACTTGAGTCATCCTTGAAAATCATCTAATTTTCCATAATTTTTTTACTTTGGACCAAAAAATGATCTTATAACACGCAATTTTTCCCATCAAACTTAGCAACATGTTGGCCTCAATAAGCTCAAACACCACAGAAGAGAGGTTCTACTGAGTTTCACTTACGTTTCAGTTAACTTATCTGACTTGTTGAACACATGAATGACTGCTTGTTTGTCTAAAACTACACTTTCTCCGTCCAACGAAGGTTTTACCCACGAGTGATCTCCAGTACACAAATCTTTTGCCGTTTTATTCGTCATCTCGTCTACAGTTCTGTTGACAACATCTACTTGTCGTTTCCAGTCACGATGACTGATGTCAGTGACGTGGACTACTAGTTGACCAGCTGATATTTCTTCAAAAGAGGCTGTGAATGCATCCACAAGTGAGTAAGGCATTTCGGATATAAAGCCGACTGTATCGTTGTAAATGCAGGAAACGCCACGTTGTAATTGACCAAAATGGGATGAGGCTTCTGCAAAACAGAAAACTATACGACGAGTGGGCTCTTTTCCAATTTTATTTTTTCATAGTTGTTTTACGCGTTTTTATATCTTAATACTTGATGTTACGATAAAAGATATAAAGAACAAAAATGTTCACAATAATCAATTTTCTCATCATACAAAATTTCATTACGTTATGACAACACTAAATTAGTTTTTTTTAAACTCAAAGGTGGGGAGGATCGATTAGTCGAAGGAACCTGTTAATAGAAAAAACCGATCTTTGAAAAGTTCCTTCGACCCCCTCACCACACAACGGTTCCCCTTGTTACTATTTTAAGACATCCATTTTCAGCCGACCAACAATATTTTTCTACAGGCGACCATATATACAAATTTTGATGGGGGAGCGCGCCGAAAAGAACACATTTTTTTGTAATAACCTTCCAACCAACCTCCCCCCACCCCTCCTGGAAATAAATCCTAGATCTTCCCTAGTTGTCATCACATTGTCAATGGTGCCAAAACTTGGGCGGTGGAGGCATCTCACCTACCCAAATAGCTCGTCAATAGCTTACACTTTTATAGCCCAGAACCGCTAACACGAATGAGTCACACGATCCATTACCTGTTGTAGCGAATAATTTGTTCTGGGGGGTTAATTTATCGGTCTGAGTTAGAGCCTTGATTAACGTAGTCTTTCCGCAGTTGGTGTAGCCTATGACTGAAATCAAGGGAACGTGTGACTCCAATTTTCGCTTCCGCAGTCTTGATCTGTTCTTGTTCGCCATCTCAAGACCATCCTTGACCTTTAACAGGTAAGTGATTAAAGAAATTAGCACTCAGACCGACTGAGACTTAGATACCTTAAAAAACTGAAAAAAAGAAAACGTACATAAGTTAGAATTTGTGGATCATAGTACGAAAACAACATCTGAGTGGGACAAACCAAACAGTGACTCTGCATGAAAATATCATTATGTTACATGAAAATCCAAATGACGTTGGCTATTCTTTTCTTACTTTAGCTTCTAGCGCCTGTACTGTCAGTCTTCTTGCTTCTTTGGATGTGACTGCACCTTTAGCGCGTTTTGTTCCTGCAACTAGGGATCCTGCGCTAGAGGACGAAAGAACCTTCTCGGTCAAGTACCACGGTAGACAATTACTCTCCACTCTATGTTTGAGGAGTGAGACCATTAGACGGGCAACTTGTAGTTTCGCTTCTTTTGAGGAAGCGTGTAGACGGAATATTGTGAGGACGAGGAGGTAGCGGTCGATAACAAAACGGCGCCATAGTTTCGATAGATTGGCGAATTGGATACCTGAAATAAAAATAACATTAAAATTGCCTCAAAACTGTTTCTCATTGTCTCTTGTTAGTAGTGGAGCATTTTAACAGTTTTCACCAGAAAATGAACTATATCTAAATCAGCAGCGGATTTAGGGGCGGGCGGGAGATGACCCCCCATCAGGGATTAGACCCCCTGCCGACCCAAAGGGTCTCCCCTTTGGTACTTTTTAAGAAATACATTTTTTGCCGCCCGACCATAAAATTTTTCTAAAGGCGCCTTGGGCGCCAATATATACTAACTTTGAGGGGGAGCGCGCGCCAAAAAATCGCGATTTTTTTTGTCAAAATTTTTCAATAAGTGCCTAAGAACGGCTTTTTGACCTGTTTTTTTCAAAAATTTGCCTGCGGCGCAGAAAATTTGGCCAAAACAGGGACCTTTTAGTGCTTTAGAAGAGCTCGGAATATCAATTTGGTCGAGCTAAAAAAAAAAGGTCGTCAAAATTTTCGAAATTTTTTTGAAAATCCGCCCCCTCGAAAAAATCCTAGATCGGCCCCTGCTGACCGACCCTAAAATTTTTTCTGAAGGCGCCTTTGGCGCAAATATGTACTCAGTTTGAGGGGGGAGCTCGTGCCAAAAAAAACGCAATTGTTTGTGGTCAAAATTTTCCAGGTTGGTCAAAATTTTCCAGGTTGGTCAAAATTTTCCTTTTTGGCCTGTTTTTTCAAAAAATTGTCTCACCGCCGAAAATTTGGTTGAAATAGGGTTTTATAGTGATTTGATTTGGGAAAGATCAGAAAACCGATTTGGATAGGACTTGAAAAAAGTTGATCAAATTTTTGAAATTTTTATGCACATCCGCCCCCACCCTTGAGAAAATCCTAGATCAACCCCTGAGCGAAATTATTAACTCTTGTTTCAAAAGTTAATCGACAAAACATTCAACTTTATTGCATTTTCATCCTGTCAGACGCGTGAACGGTTTCATTTGGTAGCAATTCCCTATTGGTTACTATTTTAGGACATTCAATATTGCCGCTATTTGGTCGATTGAATTAAGGGGGAGCGGGCGCCGAAAAAACGCATTTTTTTTGGCCAAAATTTTTATAGAAGTGCCCAAAACGGCCTTTTTGACCCATTTTTTTACGCGCTGACATGTTCTCAAAAAAGGGTCTTCATAATATTCTGGGAACGCTTGGAAAATCAATTTGGTTGACCTAAAAAAAGTCGAGTTTTCGAAAACTTTTCGAAAATCCCCTGCGCGAAATACTAGATCCGCCACTGGTTTCATTAACTTGACATCACAATTCAACTTACTGCACTGCCAAACGAGCGGTCTCGAATTCAAAACTCACTATTTTTTTCACTCACTTGTAATTTGGGGAGTGTTTATGAATATCACGTCTATTCTGTTCTTAGATAAGAACTGGGATATGTCTGCCATTTTCTGGGGTCCAAAAAGGAAGTTAGGGTTGAAGTGTGACTTATTGACATAATAAGATAGGGATGAATGCAAACTCCAGTTAGGTACTGACTGGACCAATGCTTTCGCTTCCGAAAGACGGAGAGCTTCGTCGTACTCCTGAACAAAACTGATGACTGAATTGAGCTTTTAAGTGCAATTATTATTTAATCAATGGACCGAATGGCCCGCAATGAAAAACGCCTTTTTTGCCTAAATAATGACAACACCCTTGACTTGAAAACTTCTCCCGTGAAGCAGCGACCTACCATTGAATCTCGCTCCTCTGTAGTGGCTGTTTTCCGAATGGGATGCAACAAGTGAATCAAGAGCACTTTTTGACTAAGTTTGGGATCCCAAGGAGCTCCAATCATTTCGAGCACACCTGGGTCAATCAGATCGTCGACTTCGTCTGAATTTGCTCTGCTACTCAGGTGACGCTTATTTTGAAGGGTTAACAATTGTTTGACATGTGGCGACTTTTTGCCATACTGACAATCTGGGAAAATGTAATTGTTGACTGAAGCATAAGTACAAAAGCAACTCCTTTCCGCCTAAAATAGGAAAAGATATCTAGTTGATAACTATATTAATACATGTCACCAGTAAAAAGAAACTGGCATTTTTCCTGTTTAGAAGAGATTTCCTGATTAGAACATAACCAAACGATATCTTTTGAAATAATAGTGTCTGCCATGCAGAGATGGATTTAACGCCACAGGATACGCAAATGAGTCTTGTTAATTTAGCTTAAATCTTTGCCAACTAAGACAAAACTTACCAAAAAAAATCAGTTACACGTCTCTACAAAACCCAACAATTTCTTTCCACATTTCTAACGTTTGACATTTTCTATGTTGAATTTAATGGTGAATAGATTGTAAAACCTTTTGGGTGAATGCGACAAACATTCTGCTGCAAGAGATTCGTAACCTCATGACTGGGTTCACTTCTGTTGTGCAGATTGTTCTATGGTTGCTGTCTTCTTTTGTAATTCCTGAATCTTTTTCTCCGAGTAAACTTGCATCTCTTTCGTAAACTCACTCATCAGCCGGTGGTTCACATTTCTAAAAAGCAAATTGAGCTGACAAATCAAATCTAAACCACACAGTTTCAATACAAAAACTTACAAAGTAATCACATTTAGCTTCAAATTCTGTGTTCATGGTGCCAAGATATGGGGCACCAAAGGATGGCTGGCAATATAATATTTCATACATTAAGGCGAAGCTAAGCTTCGCACCACTTGCGATACAACAACTATAAAGTACAACAGTATGATAATGAAGAAGTAGCAAAGATGACTTCGAGCGAAGAAAAAATTGAAAAAGGAACAAGAAAACAAAAATTTTAAAATAAAAAAAGAAGTTTTTACATAATTAATTTTATTTAACTTTTTCTTAGAAATCCTCATGGGGTTATTTTGGAGCTTTCGAAACTTGCGATAAAACATAAACATAGCACAACTAACAAGCGCATAGAAATCGAGACGGAAGCCACAAAGTTTTTAAAAAAATGTGAGTATTGAGGAAAGATAGATCAAACTGTTCATTTCTTGATATCAATTTTTCCGGAACAAAAACTTTTCTTTCGAACAATGACATGCCAAATAAAACAATTTAGCGTTAAGTTTTTATCGAACGAAGCTTCAGTGGAGGCAACAAGCCAACAATGCTAATTGCGAGAAAAATAATAATATAGTAATAATTCCGTGCTCATTAGTCGACAAAACAAAACTTTCCGACCATTTTAAATCAAACTTAAAAAATTCAGCAAAAAATGTAACTCAATTACTTACTGAAAGCCAGAAGAAGACTGAATCTTCAAAAAAAGTATATGCAACGGGAACTAAGCCGAAAAAAAATAAGAGACGGACGATAGTGCAAAAAAAAAACAGAAAATGAAAAAAAAAATAGAACCCTCGGTCGGATTCGAACCACTAGCCCAAACTTTTGTCGTTACAAGCATATAAGTTACCTCTAAAACAGATGCACTGGATAATTGATTGAAATTCACTTTATTTTAATAAACGAACTAAAATGCCGAAAATTGATTTTGGTAAGTTTAGAATAGATTCTAAAATTAAATAACAGAGGGCTGATTTATAATTTTCAAAGAATTCTCGCCAGATTTCAATCATTAAAAAACCAACAAAAATCAATAGAATAACAAGGATAGCCGGTCACTGTGCAAGTAGCACAGAATGTTCTGACCAGTCTTACAAAATTACAACAAAATTTTTTTTCAAATTAGTGTCGTTTTTTCGGCTTGGTTTGATAAAAGAATCAGAGCGAAAAAGTAGAGCTTAGGCATTTTCGTCAGACATGTAAAATATGCAAATTGGAAAACAATTTTTAAGACAAATAACTAGAAAACCAAAAAATTTAAGACAATTTTTCAAAATTTTTGATGCCTAAGTTCAAGCTAAAAACTCCAAAAACTAATTTCATTAGAGTAAAACTAAATTTTAAAGACTTAAATCAAGCATAATTAAGCTAATGTTTTTCTCGACACCTGGAAAACTTTGAATTCTTTGATGTCGTTCGAATCACGACCGAAAGGTGTAATATGACATACCACTCAACCTAGTCCCATGAATACTTGTGGTAAATGATTTTGCGTGGAAAACTGCTCGCTAGCTTTATTCGCTCGAATTAAGACAAAAAATCAAAAACTTCAAACCAGTTTTTCTCAACACTGTGAAAACTTTTGAGAAACTTTTTAAATGTAGTTTGAATCACCACTGTAAAGGCTTTAATATGATATATCAATCAATCCAGTCCAATCATTATTTGTGGTACCTGATTTTGCGTGGAAAACAAAGAGAAAAAACTGAAACACACCCGAATACAAAATTCCTCTCTATTTTCAATGGTCGGAACAACAAGGACAGCCAGTTGCTGGGCAAGTAGCATAGCAAGCAGAACAGAATGGCAAGTAGCACAGAAACTTTTTTTAGAGTTTTTTAGAGAGAGAAGCGCTAAAGCAATCTTCCAAAACTAGTTGTTTTTCTTAAATTAGGTAATTTTTAGTCTATTTTGCTTAACTTCATTCATAACGAAAATTACTCGATCGCTTTACTCGCTCGAAAGTCCATGAACAATCAAAAATTTCAAACTGGTTCTCGATACTGGAAAAAAATTATGTCGTTCGACTTACGACTGAAAGAGCTTCAATTTGATATATCATTCAACCCTGTCCGATGATTATTCGTGATGCCTGATTTTGCGTGGAAAACAAAAAAGAAAAAACTAAAACACCCTCGAATAAAAATTTCCTCCCACCTTCCAATGTTCGGAACAAAAACTTCAGGAAAATACGCCGACAGATTTAAACCGACCGACCTGTGCCGAAATCTACCATAATGTTCGAAAATATACTGATGGCCATTTGAGCATTCTGTGAAAGTTAATTGCGATTAAAAAAAGCCTAGTACCCAATTGCAAATACCCTCCTTTATCGCAAGGGTCAATGGGATTGGATTCTTTTGGTACGTCTTTTTGTTTCTAGGAAGCCCATATAGGGTTGGTTACTTCACATGAAGAATAAAAGTTTATTTACTCGATCGCAGCGAAACACGCAAGACATATAGCAAAAAAAGCTTAGCTACCAAAAAACGATTGATTAGCGGGTGTGAATGTTACTCGGCTCCGAATGTTTCCAAAATGCAATCTATGCCACAAGGATGGCTCACTAATGTTTACAATACTTACGACAACTTTGCAGCACATCTGTCCAGACATCTGTTTTCACTCTGGGCCAATCTGTTACTGCCCACAGAGTGGACACAGCTATCGAAGCAGAACTGGGTCATGGAGTTGTAGAGCTGGAGGAACTCGCGCATATTCTGCTGCTCCATCGCAGCCGTCACTCGCCTGCTGTTCATCTCACATCTCGAAACCAATCCAAAAACTATTACAACGGTACACTGTTGCAGAAAAGTTATCTCCAAAAAATGTAATCAATGATCTACAAGTAGTGAATTGCGATGCATTTAAAACATCAATGCATTGAACTCATTCGAAGAGAACTCAATAACAATGAGCCGGATGAGAACTTTATTTTTGATCAATAAGATTGCAGGTTTTTCTGAATAAGTTTGGGTGCTTAAAAAGTGTGTTTACTGAATTCTGTTTCCTCTAAGTCTTTTAGAAAACTTCAGAATTTTTTGAAAGCTCTTTCTTGATCTTTCAGAAATTATGTTGCATTAGAAGTGCATTTTAATGTCATGCAGACAAAAAATCTTAATTTAACTTCTTGGGAATAAACTGCGAAATTAGCCTAATTAAATTTCAAATAAAATTAATAAAAACCAAGACAACGGGACAAAAAAGTATTTTCACTCGCTTGGATATCTTCAAACATCTCTCGTTAAAACTTTTTCGCACTTCAGACAAGAATTACTAGCTTATTTAGAACTAAACAAATAAGAGAAAAAAATTGTTCTGACCATCGAAAGAGAGGACCTTTGGATTCATTCGTTTTTTTTTTCAACCAAAATTTGTGGCAAAAACAAACAAATGTCAGATGAAACGTCGACTCATGTAGCGCATTGAGGCCCTTTCAGTCAGAATTCCAGCTACCATAATAAATTCCGAAAAGCTTCATAGGCGTCGCGGAAAAATAGTTTGAACATCTTTCAATTTCAGATACACTCAAAAAGCAAAGACTAGGTGATAAATCGAACCTCTCAATGCGACAAATATGACAAAAACAAGGCTGGAACTAGCCTATATAAGCAAAAACAGCAAAATAAAGAGCTCGAAATGAAAGAAAAAAAAATTCAAAACTTCAATATCTCATGGTTATTACGAAGAGTTCACCAAAAATGTCACTGACTACAAACAGCTGAAAATATTCTGATACATGCTTTCATAATAAAAACAGGGAAATATTGAATGCGCTTTCGTTATTTTGAAAATGACGCAGTTTTTGAACAAAACATATGCAGGGAAATTTTCGAGCAGCATTGGAAAACACCGGACTCACAATTAAATAACTTCCAAACTTAGAGACGATCGCAGCATTCAAGTTGCGCTTACTCGTTGAGCATCATAAATTAGTGTATAAAATTGCGCATAATTTTAACCAGAAAAGGGAAAAATTGTCAATTTTAAACACGTTTAACACAGTGTTTAAAACACTAAATAAATTGTTGTTTAAACAACTCTGATTGTCAGATTTTCTTGTGCTTTGACTAACTGAACTGTATTCGTAGAAAAATCTCCTCGATGGTTTTCGTGAACAAAGTATTGAACGACGCGAATGTCAGGAAATGCCGGGAAACGGTAGATCCTACTGAAAGTGAAATGAACAGAGCACTCAACTGGAAAAAGTACGGCGCACAGACTGCATATAATTTCATTGTTTTTTTTTGTTTGAAAAATGTTTCAAACGTTTTTTTTGCAACCCTGATTTTCATACCTCCAAACTTAAAAAGATAGTCAGCAGATGGTTGAAAAAGTGTATACAAACTCAAAGACACCTAAAAAAAAGTTGATTGAAAATTCTTGAGCACCTTAAAATAATCACAAGTTAAATATCTTTTCTTGTTTGAGCTTAGCGGGTCGACAAATCAAAAGGGTTAAAATATCCCTCAAAACACCAATAGTTGTGATCAGTGTATTTACGTATAATGAAAAATCGTATAACTTATATTCGTATAATCCGACTATCGTATAAAGTATAATCGCATATTTTGGCTTTCGTATAAAAAACGTATAATCGTATAACTTGAGATCAAAATCCTTGCTCAATTATAGCAACAAGGCTTTTCAGATTTTTTTGATGCTCGATTATAATTTTTGCCCGAAAATCTCTGATTGTTCTCAGAAAATTTATTTATGTTGGAGTTGAGCTGCCCCTAATATCGATCATCTTGCAGTACTCAATGAAAAAATCTTTGTCTCACAAAAAAGAGTAGCCAATAATCGGTTTCCTATATTCGTATAAATCTGATCTCTCGTATTATTGTATAATGTTATATCGTTCAAGGGTTTTTCGTATATCGTATAAGGTGTACAAAACACTGGTTGTGATAAAATAATGGTACAAAATTTGATAAATTGAACTTGCTGCAAAAAAACTAGGCGGTGACTTAAAAAAACTGAATTAAGTTGTTTTTCTGGCTAAGATAACTCCTTTGAGAAGAAATATAAGCTTTTGGCACACCCCGACTATCGTTTCTGATTAATTTTCAATTTAAGATTTTAAAACAACTCAAGACAATCCAAACGCAATGATCTGCTACTGGTTCAGAATTCAAGTTCCGCTACTTTCAATTAGCCCCGTTTTAAAAACTCATTGAGAAGTGTAGTCTTATTGGTCCACTCAAAAAGTAATTCAAGTGGAAGTAAAGGATAGGTAATTTGAGTGGCAAAAAAACATAATAAACTTGTGATCATTTTTATGAGAGAAACAAAAAGGAATTTCAAAAAAATGAATAACCACGTTTGCAATCATCCTTTGATTGAAGTTTAACATAAAAAGAAGCATGAAAGAAGCAGCAACTTGGTCAAAGAAAGACTAGCTCGATAATAATTACGCGTAGTCCAAAGTACGAATCTCAAAAAGTAAAAAAAAAAAGGAGTGTTTTTTTTTGGAAAAATGTGACAAGCTGTCATTTTTGAGCAAATCAATGACTATTTCTTACATAAAAATGATGAAAAATTATCTGAAGCACTTGATATTCAATGATTTTTATGAATTTTGTTCGCATTTTCTTGCGAACACCCAAAACCATTGGCCGCTCGGTAAAAACTGACGTTTTAATGATGGCTAGGAAAAAATTCAGAAAATTTGGCACATCCCGAAAAGCGTGGCCATACAATTAACAATTGAGAAAACTTGCAAAAATAAACTTCGAACAAGGCTATGCCTATGTTCAACCCACAATACTTGGTCATATAATTGAATTTATGGCGGCATGTACTTCCTCGATTAAAATCAAAATTAAGCATAAACAAGCTATTTTAAGCGGTCTAAATTAAGCATATATAAGCGTGAATCAAACATTTTTAACCGGTTTCTCTTGACATTAGAAAAAAAATTGGGAATTCTTTCTTGTCGTTCAAATCACGAGTAAAAGGGCTTTAATATGATATATCACTCAACCCAGTCCGATGATTGTTTGTGGTACCTGATTTTGCGCGGAAAACGAAAAGAAAAAACTAAAACAAACCCGAATACAAAGTAACTCCTCATTTTCAATGGTCGGAACAAAAAGCTCAGCAGCTACCTGTATCAAATTATTTGAACCAATTTGTAATTTTCAGTTTGCATACTAACTTAATATTTACCTAAAATATCTGAATTGTTTTTCAGTGAGTGAGGAATGAATTGGTTAATGAGCTTCAAGAATAATAAATAACACAGAGGCAAATCACCAATTTGCAAACAGCGACGAAACGCCAAAAACGCAAAAAAGACATAGCCAAGTCAGCAAAGCAAGCAGACAGAAAAAAATGACTTGTTCAAAACTTAAGTTCAAAAAAAGTTCAAAACATATGGCCTTACAGCTCTTTGAGTTTCAAGAAATTTATTGGAAGTTTTTCGATGAAATTAACCAAGTTTAAGAAAACTGGATCAATGGGCAAGTTTTTTAATCCGCTGGAAAAATAAAATCCACTTTCTAATCACGTTTTTTCGCGTTCACGTTTTTTCGCACAATTCCGTTTTCGTAATCATAGAGCGCAATTTGCCTCTTTTAGCAGATGAACTGAATTTTAAAAAGTTCACATATACCTAAGTGCATTCATAGATACATCCAGAAAAAAATATAAAAACGAAATTACCAAAACCTATACAAGAGTCTTCACTTCGTTCATCGACTCGTAAAAAGGCTTGAAAAGAATAAAACGTTAACCATGCTTCGAAAGAGATACTGGTTGCCCGGAAGCTTCAACTGTGCCTTCTGGCAGAATAACGTTGAAAAATAGAAAATATTAAATTTTGGTATTTTTGTGGGCATGAAATTAAATTTCCTTTCGAACGACGCACAACAAAGCCACGTAACCAATAAACATCAGCCAAAGCAAACCATTTAGGCCGAATGAAGCCTTTGAGCAAAAAAAAAACATTCGAAGCCAGGGGAAAATGTTCTCTCCAACTTGTTATTTTTTGCTTAACGAAATATCAAATCAACTGAAGTATCACTTGAAAAAAAAAATAAATAGATTGGGCCAAATAAACTTGCTGGAACCGTCTTAAGTATAATTTTTCTGCAAAAATATTCAGCACTAAGTTCTTTTATAGACTGGAAACTATCATGCCACTTCTGGAAAGTTTTTTTAAAAAATCTTATTACCAGCCTATACTTAATTGGACCCAAATTATCAGTTATTGGACATCCAAAAACAAACTACCTTGTATTCAGTCAGATCGTCATTCCTTATCTCGTATACCACAATTAAAGAAAAATCTCTTTTCATGAAAACAGTATCAGCATACCAGATCATATACCACATTTCTTTAATTAAGACCTAAAACTTTCCCCCATAATCTTTACTCAAAAGATAAATAGATAGAAGCCAACAGAAAATTTGATTGAAATAAATTGAATTGAAATAAATTTAATAGTTTGTTTTACTATTGCTGTTTCTTTAGTTTAGAGTAACTTCGTTTGTTTTAATTATCCACCTTACTTTATTTTTGATATTCGATTTATTGTGAAGGAAGTGTTGTTTGTTATCAAAGATGATATCATTGATGCGCTCTTCATTAGGCTAAGGTCCATAGGCGGCAAGTACCTGGTGAAAAAAGTGGGAGATGAACGTGATAGCTAAGACATATACCAAGCGCGTTATACCGACGCCTTTTGCTCAGGAAGAGAAAGCCATTAGTAATACAGACAGTTGGAAAAGAGTCAATGAAAACAAGAGAGCAGAAAAAAACTTCTGAGAAAACTTCAACGTTCGAATTTCAAAATAAAAAAGGAAATTAAAGAGGGCCTAAGCGCTGGTAAACCTGAAAATGAAAATATGAAATCTATGATATATTGAAATGTAGGGTTCACTATCTCGCCACGTTAAAGCTTTTTCAACGTACTATTTTTCCTGACCTTTACACTTTCTCTGTTCGATAGTGAAGCTTGCATTCCTTTTAACAAAGGAAATGAACTGAACTTAAAAAGAAATCAAAAGTCAAATCGCGAAAAATCAAATTTGGACGCGAACAAATTCAAAGACTTTTCCTGAAAAAAAAAATTATCGCGGCCTAAATAAGAGTCTGAACTACGTTCATCGACTCTGAAACCGACCCAACGCCATAACTCCTTCCGAATTCGTTAAGTAGTCGAAACAAAAGCGCCCAAAAAATTCTTTTACTAATTGCTATTTTTTTCAACTGATTTTCTAACTACTTCAATTTCAAACTTAAGTCATCCAGTTACATCTTTAGGTTTTTTGCTGAAAATAAATGAGTGATAACAAATTTAATTCTCAAATTCAGGTGAAAACAAGTAGCCTAAATGTAGAATTTTGTAATCAACAATTAATTCTCTCAAGCCAAGCTGAAATATATGGATAGAAAGAAATTGATAAATATCACGTCGTGTAACACAACATTAATCAATGTCTCCAACCCTCCAAGGAGTCATCAACTAGCAAGCTGTGACACAAAGCTAGACGGTGGAAAATATTTCGAAATCAATAGCATTGCAGCCCAAAGCAGACATATATTATATATATTTCATTTAAAATGCAGTTTTCTGTATTCTGTGGGGGTCTAATAAACAAAACTTATAGTCAAAATTAAAAACTTAAAATACCGATACGGCAGACGAATGCAATTTAAATAGAATTTATTCCGAGCAATATTCGGTAAAATGAACTAGCGCAGGGGTATACACTCCGATATTATGATGGTTTCCGTCTAAGACTGAGTCAAATAGGCGAACAAATATATCATAGCTCAAAATCTAAAAAGTAGCACCAAAAACGTGAAATATGTCAGACTATCACAAATTGGACAAATCTTGAAATAGTAAGTTTTGACTGCGGCATTAATCTATAAAATTGTTTTTATCACCGACGCGAAGGGAGATTTTTCTAAACATCCAAGTTGTCGACCTTTCTTTACTTTGGCTTCGCAATAACAGCTCAGCTGTGTCATCGTTCATCTAGCCTTTCAATAGAGGATAGAATAGTTGAAAAGAGCTTTAAATGACCAAAGCTCATCTGGAAAATCATTCATCTATCATTACGTATTTTGTGCATTTCAACTAATTTTTGGACGAGAAAACTTCGCTAAAATTGTTCAAACTTCACCTTCGGCCACTTCGTCAGTTTGAGGGAAAAAAATGTGTTCCATATACCTAGCCGGATTTGGACTAGGACTACTATTCACTGCTTTCAAGGGATAGAACGAGCCCTCGTTATCCGCAATAGTTCCTGTTCTGATTCTGGTTAGAAGTGGGGCTGAATTGCTCCTTTCGATCTTTGGCTGTGCGTCCAGAAGTTGTTTCAATTGTTCTTCTACCTTCTTGAAGTCCGGTCGACCATCGGTGTTCTTCTGGACACATTCGATCAACAGCTGCTTAAGATCAGCAGGTGTGTCTTCCTGGCACTGGGAGAGATCGGGTTTCAGAAATCCTTTTCCAACCTATAACGACAGTCAATTTCAATATCATCTTACCTATGAACTTCAACTTCACTTCCTTTTCTTACAATTCAAACAATTGTTACCAAAAAAGAAACATCCAAATCAATTTAAAAACTAAGCGAAACTAGTGCATAATTTACGACTTAACAAGGCGAAAGAAAACCAACTTAAGAGTCAATTTACATCAGATGCGTAAATTCTATTTACCATGTAGATTATGACGTCTCTCTGGAGTCCATTGTAGGGCAGTTTGCCGGAGAAGAGTTCGAAGAGGACGATGCCGAAGCTGTAGACGTCACTCTTGTAGCTGTAGGGGTTGTCACTGTTGAAGATCAACACCTCCGGCGCCATCCACAGAATAGAGCCAGTCGGCTGCTTCTCCTGGCCTAAAAATCGCAACACTCACTTACCAACACCTTCGAAAACAATTCAATTAAGACAAAGCCCAGAAATCAACAAAATATTGTCAACAGAAAGCTGGAAAAATGTCAAGGAACAAAATTTAAAAAACACTTGGAAAAATTTCAACAACAGAATTTCGACAAAAAAGCACATTACGCTAGAGCGCGTTCCATTTCAAGAATCTTTTATGATTTACTTTTTCATAAGACGAACCCAATTTGTGAGGTAGAGGCTAAGCTGTGCTTTGTAAGCACTTGCGAGAACACGATTAAACAGCAGCTCTATCAGGTGAAACAAGACTCGGCTATGTGTAGGATTCGAACCTGCGACCTACTGCAATCAAGAGATTTTAAGTCTCACGCACTATCCACTCAGCCACACAAGCTTAACAACCGACAAATACCAGTAACGAATCAAGCAGCTACATATGCTAATAACTTGCCAATGCTTTTCAGCAAAAGTGGCACCAAATACAAATACTCAATTTTGCATGTAATAATTTGGAATGAAACAAACTGAAGGCATCCAAACTAACTTTGCATGTAACAAATCGCAAAGCATATAGCCACATTATGTATAAATTATGCATTTCATAAAAGTGCGAGATATAGTGAGTTAAAAAATTTATGAAATCGAGGTTTCATAATTGTTATGTTGTTTGAAACAAATCACTTTTTGCGGTTCATTTGATGAACTAAAAATGCATCAACTGTGTTAACTTAATACTATGGATAGATTAATATATATTTTTTATTCTGCTGGGAAATCTCAAGTATGATTTGCCTTAATTTTAGAAGGTAATTTTAACAATACATCGGCACTGAACTATATCAGAAATCACAAGTAAAAAAAACTCGAATTTAAGCGTGATCACAATTAGATACTTTCTCTTGAAAAAACCGAAAAACAAACACTGAATCAAATAATTGTCTAACAAAGTGCCGAAGACTCATGCACACCTGTGTTGTTCCATTTGGACTTCAGTGTGGCTAGACCGAAATCGCCAATCTTGACAGTGAAATCGTAGTCGTCCAGGAGGAAGATGTTGTTGCTCTTGAGATCTCTGTGGATAATGTTCTTGCTGTGCAGGTACGACATTCCCTGAGCTGTCTGCATTGCAATCCTCAGTTTTTCGTAATTGTTCAGATCTGCAAATGAAACAATAAAATATCTACGATATGTTCCGAACAATGCATTTATCAATGGAATGGATTTCTGGTTTTTTTTCGAAATACAGAAAAGCAAACCTGATATCCACATGCCAAAAAATGAACAAATCACCATTAGGCGAAAGAAATGATCAAAATTACCAGCATTTACACGAATTACTACACTGTCATCGCCACTGTTTTGCGCTTTACTTTAGCTTAACTTGTTTCGTTAGCTGGAGGAACTATCTCATTTGGGGAACTTTTTTTGTTTGATCAAAAGTCACCTACATTTGTCTGGGTTTTCGCTGTCTTCCACGTGTATATGCCAGTAGAGGGACTTGCCCTCGCACCACTGGGTCACTATGGCCAGGAAGTTGTCTGTTGTGAAGCCATAGAATGAAAGGATGTGTGAATTCCTACATTTTTTCAGCAGTAGAACCTAAGAAATTAATGCTTGTTATGTCTTAATAACCACGTATTTATAACGAAAAAAAACCGCTAAATTACTTTCAGCAAAAAACTTCTTTTGCTTCGATAAAAATCCTATCTTATACTTCCAAAACGTAAAGCACTACCAAACAAGACGAAATGATTGACACCCTTACTTCATTTTCGAAACTGGCGAGTTGTTCTTTCGTGGGACTCGTCAAATTCAGCTTCTTGATGGCCACTGGTCCATGGTACTTTCCTTTGTACACAGTCCCAAAAGAACCAGATCCAATCCGGCTATCGATCACCAATTCGGAACTAGGTATTGCCCATATCTCGTTGTTTCTCCTGCCTAGTCGCCCATCTAGCAGGTCGCGGCCCAATGAGCCCGCATTGACACTTTTGATTTCATGGATATTGTCAGTGGAGTTCGCATTGCCTACCTTGTTTGCACCGCCTTTGATATCAACTGGAGTAACATTGTTTCCCTTTTGTCCTAAAATAAACATAAATGCTAGAAGAACTATTTAAAACCTAGGAAGATCGTTCGAGTAAAACATAGCTGCTGCTTCTACTGCTATCTGGATTTAAGAAACGATATTTTTTCTTTCAGGTACTAACTAGCTCTTGTGCCTCCAGGTGACTTGGATTTTCGAATGTGTCCAGCTGATTGTGTTTCTCTGGCTGCATTCCTTGGTAGGCTCAGTGTGTTTCCAGAAGTAGGCAGGTAATACTGTGAGCTCTTATTTGGAGATTTATTTGTAACCGAAATCTGAGAATCAGAAGGAGGGGTTCTGGATGTTGAGGGCTGCGGGTTGTTCACGTTGTTTACTGAGACATTTGGCTCGCTAGTCGAGCGGGTTCTTTGCTTGGAATCTGGCGAGGCCGATGAGACGCCATTTCGGAAAGGCGAGGAGACATTAGAAGGGGAATTGTTGTTATTTTCAACTGACGTGTCAATGGCGTTTGCTCGACGCTGTTTCCGATTGTTGTCGGTAGGAACTAAAAGCGAAAACTGTCGGTTACTTCGTAGATACCAGCTATTATCATAAATAAGCCAAACGTGAAACTTTAAATGTGCACAGTTTTTGAATATGAAAAGACAAAGAGGCACATCGACTTTGCAAATCCCACAAGCTCAGTTCAAGCACAAAAAAACTCAGCTTAAGTATTAGTTAATTGTATGATAGAGTGTTAAAGTTATTTAAGGGTGGAGTCATTTTAATGGCAGATAAATACAGTGCTTCAAAAGGATGAGTGCAAATCTGATTTTAAATATTCAACACTGCACCTGGTCTTGGAGCACTTGGTTTCGGTTTTTTCGGAGGTACTTTTGGCGAGCGTCCCCGAGTTCCAAAACTCAAGTTTCCTTCTTAAAACGGAGAACAGAATTTGATTGACAAACAAACTGTGTGGTAAGCATTTAACTCAAAATAGCGGTATCAGAAGCGATCTGAAACCCCAACGAATGATCATTAATGAAGAAAAACTGAGGCCTTGATAAAATTGTTTAAAAACCAAGAAAACCGACAAAAATTAGGGTGCTTTAATTAAGCGATTAAATTTCAAATACCATTCCAAATTAGAAATAAAACTGCAGAAAAGGTGCAAGTTGTCTGAAACATTAATCTGCAGGCTTGAACGAGCTTCTTATGTACAATGGAAATTTTTGGAAACAAAAGATCTACCTATACAGCATTGCCTTCAATTCTTTCGAAAACAATTCCCCGGCAGGAAACAGCAAAAACACAGAATTTTGTAGCATTGAAATCATTCCTTAACCTGATAACTTTGACATTTTTGGACAAATGCCCTGATAAAAGGAAGGTTACAAAATCAAGCGTGAAAACAATTTCGGCCAATTATTTCGCTTCAACTTCAGCCGAAAACCATATCCTAAAGAAGATACAAAAACCAGCTGACCAAAATCTTCTAAAACCAATTGACCAAAATGTTCATCACAGAGGCGAAGCTGGGCTTCCCAAACACTTGCGAGAACACGACCAAAAAGCAGCTCTATCAAGTGAAATAATAAAAAGTAGGAATAAGCCTAGTGTTAGCAAAAACTCGGCTACGTGTAGGATTCGAATCGGTGACCTACTGCAATCAAAAGATTTTGAGTCTCACGCACTATCCACTCTAGCCATGCAAGCTTAACAACCAACAAACACTAGTCAGGAATAAAGCAGCTACATGTGCTAATAAATTGCCAAGCAATTCAGCAAAAGTGGCACCAAATAAAAATAGACTCAATTTTACAAGTAATGATTCGGAATATAACAAACTGAAGGCATCCACACTACTTTCGCATGTAACAAATTGCAAAGAATAAATTATGCATTTCAAAAAATATATTGAATTATATTGAGATAGAATAATCGAGTTTTCATTATTGTTGTTTGAAACAATTTTTTTTTCGGTTCATTCGATGAATTAAAAATGCATCAACATTGTTAACTATTACTATTTGAATGTCAAAGCACATACTATGAAAAAGCTGTAAAGGTTCCTAAATATTTGCGACTTAGGTTGCAGAAAAAAGAAGGTTCGTACTAATACCCTCGCTTCGCAAGAGTTAAAAAAGCGACATTCCGAAATCCATAAGCATTTGTGGAAAAAGTACATCGTGACTGCTTAAGCAGGAAAGATTCCCAAAACAGGGCTTCTCATTTGACCTAAAAATTGACATTTGAAGAATTAACTTGGACAGTTTTGAAGGCCATATTTTTTTTGTTAAAGAAATTGTGAATGTCCGCTTATACAGGTAGGCTTTCAACCTGTTGTTTCGATTGAGCCCTTGGTATCAGATGGGAAGGAATCAAATCGAGAGAAGTCAAAAAATTTCCAAACATTCTGGCATAAACGCTTGTGCAGAAGATATTAACAGAAGTTCAAAAACGAAAAAAAAGACTTTTCCGAGGACCATAAAATTCAGTGTAAAAAAATGGGCGTAGTCAATTATGCAGAAGAGCTTCCCACAAGCAGTTATTTCGATTGAACTCAAAATCTCAGACTTGGGAGGGTTTCTCGAGAAAGTCAAAAGGTTCAAAATAAAGTTAAAAAAAAATTGAAACTTGGACTTTTCCGAGGGCTATTACTCTTTCTTCCGAAAAAAAGTTGAGCATAACCGTTGCACTGGGAAATTTTCCAGAACTCGTTCTAACCATTGAACCCAAAATTTGGGAGGTTGATTTTTAAGAAAACAAAAAAAATCATAAAATACGGTAAATATTCCCCTTACAGACTATTTCGAAGGGCAAGCGCAACAGTTTTATCTCCAGGTCAAGTGCGAAGAAAGCTGGAAGTTGCTATGGTGCAATATTGAAAGTGTGGCACCCAAGCGAAAGTGTGGCACCCAAGCGGACAACATTTTCGCAGATAAACGAGAATCCTACAATGCAAGTTTTACTGGAAAAAAATTCAATTTCATACATACTGAAAAAACAAGGTCCTAGGGGACTGGAACCCCAGACCTTGGGGGGCAAGCGCAACAGTTTTATCTCCAGGTCAAGTGCGAAAAAGCTGGAAGTTGCTATGGTGCAATATTGAAAGTGTGCAAGTTCTTGTAAGTAAAGCTGTTTACGGTAAAAAGTCTAGTTCCGGAGGCTTTTTCCTTTATCACCCACCAACCTGCAATTTTATAGATGATTAATCTGTTCACATTGACTGATTGTTACCAAAATTGGCTTACGGACTAATTAGGCTATGACAAACATAACTTTTCTGTATACTGAACATTTGAAATCCCTCAGCAAAATAAAGTGGAATGAAAAGGAAAAGATCCGTATCCGATTACAAGATACTTGCGCTCGCAAGTGTAAGCATGTCAACAAATTTTGACACAAAGTCGAAGCAGAGCTTCGCACCATTTGCAATATAACAAAATAGCAGTGCAAGCTAGCAGACAGGAAAAAAAGATTGAAAAAAAAATCAAAATGTTCTCTGATATCATTTTCTCCTTGCGGAAAACACGTCCAGAAACACAATCGACCGCATTGAAAGAAAATTTAAAAAAAAAACAAGCGGCAACTGAGCCGACGAAACTTCAAAAATTTCCGGTAGAACCGAAAATATAATTTAAAAAAAAACGAAAAAAAAACTTACGCTTCCTCAAACTTAAAACTCAAGCTTCCTTTGAAATGACCCGAAATTAGTCCAACAAGTCGATCATTCAAGCCGAAAACAGTTTTTAAGCCAAAAAATCAGCAAAACATAAGAAGTCAAGGCTAGTAATATTAAACATAGCCAATTGAAGATTGGAAAAGAGTAATAAAAGCAAGTAACCATAAAAAAAACACTGACTTTCTTTAAAAAATCTCAACTTCCGAATTTCAAAAGAAAAAAGATGCCCTTTAAGCTCTTTGAATTTCAAGAACAATTTATGAATGGCGCTTTTTTGATAACATGAGCCCATCTAGAGAAATCTGGATGAATAGGTAAAGTTTTTATTCCGCTGGAAATCTAAAAATTAAATTCCATGTTCGAAACATGTTCGCGCCATTTCCACGTTTGTATTTTGAGACAGCTATTTTTGTCACTTCCAGCAGATGAATTTCAATTGAAAACAAAAAGTTCAAATGTACCTAAGTGCATTCATAAATGCATCAATATGTATGAATGCACATCTGTAGTTTGAAAAATTTCCTGGTCAGATTCGAATCCACGACAGGGCATCTCAGTCGTATTATTCACCTCCAGGCTGTGTCGGACACGCAAAGAACTTTGAGTTTATTAAGAACCAATATACAAGTGATTCTGTTAAACGTTTTTAACCCGAAAAAAATCTATATTCCAATTTGATAACGCTTGCTAATCGCTTGCTACAGGATTCGATTCTCAGACCTCAAGCATCGAACTCGACTATCCTACACAATGCCACTGACGCTTAAATCACCGAAATACTTTCAACTGATTAAGATAAGAACATATGCTATTAAACTGCTAATACTATACAGCAAAAATACCAACAAGAGCACTTTTATTTGCAAATTGGATTGGACAAAAATCGAATCGTAATAAAACACAATGCTCGCAAGCTTGCTTGTGTAAGAACAGTCACAAAAACAACCAAAACTTTCAAAAATTTGTCTCAATTTGCAGAAATTCATTTCAAGGAAAAGATTAATTAAGACAAATGCCAGGGCTGAATTACCATAGAAACAAAATTTATGCAGCAGACACTAAGCTGGCAATACCTGAGCATATACCAGTCTGGCCGCAAATTGTCGTCATGAAAAACTAAGCAATCAAAAATTTTCAAAAACAAAACTCAAAGTCCCCAATGCACACACACGTAGGATAATTTTAGGCCATCAAAAAAAAACAATGTGAATCAATTAAGCCAAAACCTTTCACATCGAAAAAATTTGAAAAAATTTTTTTTGGCCAACAAACAACACAATGTGAATGAATTATGCCAAAAGTGAAAGATCAAGTTGGATTTGGTAAATTCAGAACTAACATGAGAAACAATTTCGAAAAAAAGGAGATTTAAAATCCAGACATGCTCAAAAAGTGTCTGGTGCAGACTAAATCATGGAGTTAACTAAATGATTCACGCAACTTGTTAACCTGAAAAAAAAACGTCCGTTTCAATTTAATAACGCTTGCTAATAGCGACCTAAATACGAAAATTAAAAGAATGCACCAAATGGAGGATTGCAACCACGGTCTCCAGCATTTGGGTCATTATCATTCATCACTTATCCATATGACTGGCTGTCTGATGTAGTTTACACATCGTCTTTGCAGTAGATAAGCAACAGCTTCATATTGCATCGAGAACATTTGTGAACAAATCGAGACACGCAGTGTCGAGATGAGCACAAATTTCGGAATACAATATAGGATGTTGCTTATCTGGTATTTGTAAAATTTTTCACGCTCACACAAAATTTTTACTTTCTAATTTGTTTTGGTTGATTGCTCTAGGAAAGGCATTGCACTAGTGTTTAGATTTTATGTGAAAAGCGAGCGCAATATTTGAAACACTGCAATATTTAAATATTGCACTAGTGTTTCAAATATTTCACTAGTTTTTCAAATATTGCACTACTGATTCAAATATTGCACTAGTTTTTCAAATATCGCACGGAAACATACTGAGCACGTGAGTTTAAAAAAAATGAAACGTTGCAAAAGACTTGTCAAAAAAAATCAGGGCAGTATACAGAAATTGAACACAAGAAGTTGAGTTCAAAAAAGTGCGTGTTAGGTTGGAATTATGTGAAATTTCCCCAAAAATGACAAATAAGTTAGGCAAAAGCAGTTCACATGATATATGTTGATGAGTTTTTTAAAGTTACCTTTATCAGCCGGTGTCCGGGATAATCTGTGAGAACCATTGTGCAAGTCAACGTTATCTTTCTTGCACTCATCTGGTAGTTTTTCTCCGCATAATTTATGGCATTTCAATCCACACGATTTGCAAATGTATCCCTCTAGGACAATGGTTTGCCGGCAGACGCAACAGTTCGAAAGAATTATTCTGAAAAAAATACGATCATAAGCTCAGTGTTATTTTAGTTACAGGATTAATGGTATTTATCAACTCACCGTTTTGTTGCAATGTCGTGTGTTTGTTTCAAAACTCCGAACTCTTTGTATTGATCTCTGAATTCTATCGATAAATAATCTTCGTTTTTGAGGAGATCAATATCTGTAGCCCAGTCTACAAAATGTTTCACGCCGTTTTCTACTCGATATACCGAGCACATTTCAATCTAAGCGAATTCACCCATTATGGCTATTCATTTTTTAAAAGTTAAATGCCAAATTTGATAGAACTTACTTTCATATTTCTGGTTGATAATTTGCGATCTAACGCATCGCGGAGTAACAATTTGCATCTTGGCTGAATATACGTGTGCATCCCTCCTGGTAAATTTATTTTAATGAAACTGGAAGTGCCATTAGATGACTGAGATCCTGAGGGTGTTTGCATGGAATGGGAACTCATGGCGAAAGATGTTGATGAAGCCCAATGCGAAATTATTCTATCATTTAAGGCTGCCGTGTAGTTGCCTAACGGATCAGCAAACTTGGAACCATTCAAACGATTGCTTTTATTACTTCTAGTTGTGTTTGTTTGATAATTGGTTCCAATTTTTTCGATTGATGATGGGTCAAAAGTTTGCGGATTCAGTTGACTGGCAACGCAACTTAATGACATCGCTTTCCAAATCCCTGTATTCACGCAATTTCATTCAAGTTCCTAGCTTTAATTTCATCTTTTCTGAATAAAAAGAAGTTATAAAAAGAAGTGAAGCGAATCTTCGCACCACTTCGGATGCAACACAAACATAAAAAAAATAAGCCGAAAAAAACTTTAGATGTGAAAAAAACTAGGTGAACTAAAAACTTCGTATGTCTCGGTAAAAAAAACAATTAGGTGACCAGCTAGAGCTGAAGGTACGTGTTTAAAATTGAACGAATTTGCTATACTGATGCGGTACGAAAATTGTGATTTCAAAAATTGGACTTTGCCCAAAACCCTGGTTGTTTCTCTAGCAAATTAACTGATAAGAGTTGAAAATTTTGAGATAATCGATTTTCCCAAGAAGATAACAAAAGATTACCAAAAATTATGAGTCGCCTCTTCTGCAGGAACAATTATTGCAACCGGTTCACTCAATTGAGTTTTCATCTCAGATTTGATTGTTTTAATTTTAAGAAAATTCAAAAAGTTTCGGTAGTGTAGTTTTCGAGAATATTCAAAAAGTTTACAAACGTTCAATTTTGACTTTTCCGAGGGCTATATCTTTTTGTGAGTGGCCGACAATGCAAGGAGCTTCCCGCTACCCTTTATCTCCATTGAAGTCACAACATCAGATTTGAGAGATTAGTTTTCCAGAAAGTCAAAAAGAATCACAAAACAGTCAAAAATTGAATATTCCGAGGGCCATAATTTTGTGTGAAAAATAATTTGGGCACAGCCGCTTATGAAGGGGAGCTTTTCAAACCCGTTCAATTCATTGAAACCAAAAAAACTCAGATTTGAGAGGGGTAGTTTTCGAGAAAACGAAAATAAAATCAAAAATATGGGTCAAATATTCCACAAGACTTTTTCGAAGGCTGTAGACAGAGGGGGCAAGTAAAAACAGACTATAGGAGAGTATGCATTTACACAGGGAAGTAAGCGGATTTTTAATTCTTACCCCTTCTTTGAAAAACAGAAGAAGTTTCTGAGAACAATTAAAATTTATGCAAAAAGTGAAAAAATTTTCCAAAATTAAATTAAAGAAGAAATTTCAACAGGCATTGGTAAACATACAACCAAGTTTAAAAAGGTAGAGGCGAGTGTTGAATTGTGTTTCCCTTGATAAGAACGATAATTAGGTCATTCATCCGATAAAAAACATGCCGAAATAATTTGGTCCGAGGAATTTTTTAAATGAAACAAAAAAACGAAGGAAATACGAAGTCAACGATAGTAAAATTACAAATTGTAGGAGCAAATCAAATCCTAAAAGCAACATGAAAAAATGCACGCAGCTAAAAAAATGATTCCAAGATGTAACAACTAAGCCAACAGCAGATAAGCAGACAAATAATTGGCCGACAATTGATTGAAACATATTATTTCCCGTTTGAAAAAAATAAACAGGAGGTCCTGGTCAGACTCGAACCCAGGTCCTTTGATGAGTCCTGTGAAGTTATTTACGGGAAAAAAGTCTAGTACCCGATTGCAAAACCCTTGCTTATCGCGAAGGTAAAGAAGAGCCGCTAAGTTTCGATTTATGTGATTTCATGGCCTGCCCATCTAAATAAAACAATTTTCAAGGTTTTTTTTAGATGACCATTATGCATCAAAAATTTCGATAAATCTTTGGTTGACTTTTAAAGAATTGCTTCAAGGAAAAGCGCGGGGAAGCTGCTTCAGCATTAACTTTTTTCACATTATCAACACAGTTGCAGCTAATCAATTGTTAGAAAAATTTAACTCTTGTGTATCTATAGGCTAATTAAAAAGATTTCTGAGATTCATCAGATAATTGGTTTACATTGCCTACTAAATTGACATTTATGCGAGAAAACAGACAAAACTTGTAATGGTAACAGACCATACTTCAAATGGTCAGGGGTTGTCAAAAATAATTACAGACCAAAAAATCAATTGTTGAAAATGCCACAACCAACAAATGCAATTATTGCAAGTTAATCATCGCGCGTAGTCAGAACAAGAGGGTTTCCATTATCGCAGTACTTGCTGTCATTGATTGAGATCAAATGCTCTAGAATGTTAAAGAAGACTTAATTATCGCTCTTAAGTTGCTTTCAAAACACTCAAACAAAACTAATCAGAATTTAGCGCTACCAGAATTCTACTTGGATTTTTTTTACTTGCAAGTTTGCCAAAAAATGATATTTCCACATGTTGCAGAGGGCAACTATGATTGCAAAGCAAACTTTTACACACAGGCGAAGCTGAGCTTCGCACAATTTGCAATACAAATATGAATGACTCAGAAAATGAAATGGAAAAAATTCAAACAATCGTTTTTGTCAATAAAAATAGCAAGAAAAGCCTAAGATATCCGGAACAAAATTGCCTGCACCATTAGAAACTCTACAAAGCGCTTTGTGAATGCTATACAGAAGCCAATTTGTTACAAAACCTTTTAGCAGAATTAAGCAGACAAAAGTAAGCAGACAGACAATAATCTAAACTAGCGTGTAACGCACCTCCGGTGCTTCTAATTGTTAACAACTCATAAAAAACCGCATATATTGGAAATATGATTTGCATACTTTTACATAAAAAAACCGCATATATTGGAAATATGATTTGCATCATCTGACAGCACCCAAATACAGGATTGTAATATGATAATTTTAAATTTTGTGAAAAATTTTTCATTCAATTTTTTTTTAAATTCAAAGTTAAAAAAACCATAAAATTCTGTGAAGTTTTTCATATCTACGTTGAAAACGTTCAAAATGACATAAAAAAAACGTCATATCTCAAAAACTGCAAAGATTTCAGCAGTCATATTCAGATACAAGCCTCGCAACCACTGAGAGTACTCTCACAGCTCCCAAGTACAGGGTTGAGAATTTCAAAATTTCAGTAAATTTTAAAAATTAATTTTTCCGGAAATTTTTGAAAAATGTCGAAAATTGTCTATCTCGTAACCTAAAAGGATTTGGTTATTCATATATGGTGGCCAAAATCTTAACACCCGGGTAAAGCCTGACATCGTCCAACTGCTGGGTTGCTAATTTCAAACTTGGTGAAATAAACACTGAATTCAAATAGGAAAATCGAAAAAAATCTTAACCATTGCAAAATACGATATAGCTTAAACGTGAAAAAATTCTTTTTTTAAACATGCAAAAAAATAGGTTGAAAAACTTAAGCATTACGATATAAAGAAGCCCGCAATTAAATATATAATAGATAGATTGATGAGCTTAAATTTTCTATTTGAAAGAAAAACAAGTCTCAACTGGAATCGAACTTCCAGGCTTTGTCGTCTGAAGCATGGGGGCTACAGCAACTTCAAATAAAGCTGCTCCATCGAGCTACTGGAACAAAGCCGACAAAAATAAACAGACGGACGATAGTTTGTAAGAACGGGGCCAGGCCGGATTCGAACCGCAAATCTTCACCATCTCAAGCAATTGTTTTATCCCTACGCCAGATGCTCCGGATGGTTGACTGGATTTGAATTTACAATCACCAAGCGGTAGCAAAGGCGAAAAACCTGAGCAGAAACCCTTCATGTCGAAAAAAAATTCAAAAAAATTCTAAACTTATTAAAAAATGTTAGTCTTTTTCCCCTCAGAGCACACATATGCGCACAAAAACTTGTTTAAGCCAATAAAAGACGCAAAAAATAAAAAGTGATATTTTAATACATCGAGCTTGTAAAATTACAACCTATATGAAAAAAAAATCGGCCAGGTTTTTAAAATGCTAAAAACAACTGCAGTGAAAATTGTTCACAGCTAAAATAAACGATTCTTCGATCAGGCAACTAAATCGACAAAATATAAGCAGACAAATAATAGGCCGAAATTTTTTTGAACCGGAATATTTACCGTTCGAAAACATTGATCCTTGTCAGATTCGAACCCCGGATCTTTGCCTTCCCAGGCGTATTAGTTAACACCAGGCTAAATGTCCGAGAGACACTACAAAATTTGAATTCATTATGAACCAAGGTACCACCAGGATCTGGTACCAATGAGTCCTGTAGACAATGATGTTAACAGGAAAAAAATCTAGTATCATGGAACAATACCCTTGCTATCGCATGGGCTAATAGTAACTAATTTGGTGGCGAGGCAATAAATAGTGTGCACGCCATTAGCGCACGAACTGAAAACTTAGTCAAGTCACAATATCAAGTCAACTTTAACTTTAAAAAAACTGAAAACGCAAGGCAACTAACTTGGTTAAATTCAAATATCAAAAAGTCTTCAAATGAAAAGCTAAGTATTTCAAATGTCACTTTTTTCCTAAACGTTCTTATTTCATCTGTTTCTCTAGTTAATTCACAATCGCCCCCTTCTAGATATCTTAACTTTTCCGTTTCCCTACTAATCTTAGTGTTGTTGCCAGGTACGTGCATAAAGACGGGGACATTGGCGCCCAATCTAAACTATTCGTTAACAAAAAAAAACAATCTACTCTCAAGAAGGGACAACCCAGGGGGATCCACTAGCAATGGCCATGTACGGTCTAGCCATAATACCCCTCATAAAACTTTTATCAGTAGACGATGTAACCCAGAAATGGTACGCAGACGACGGAAACGCAGTCGGTAAATTAAGCAATCTACGAACCGTCCTCGATAAAATTGTATCACTGGGTAAATTTTTCGGCTACCACGTGAAAGCATCCAAATGCCAACTCAATGTCAAGGATGAAAAACTCGGTGAAGCTCAGAAAATCTTCGCAAATACAGGAATCACTATTAAAGCAGGAGCCCGAGTGCTTGGTTCAGTTATAGGAACAGAATCTCAATGTAAAAAGTTCCTCGAATTTCAACAGAATGAGCAAATCAAAATTTTGAAAAAAAACTAACGAAAATCGCTAAAACCTCCCCTCAAAACGTTTATGCCTGCTATACTAAAGGAGTTCAAGAAAAGCTTTCATTTCTTGCCAGGACAACGCCTAACACTATGGAAAACTTAGAAATAAGTGAAAATATGATCAAAGAACAATTATTACCTAACCTAGTCGGTAAAGACACTTTAAACCCCCAGTTCCGTGAGATATCTTCCTTACCCCTTAAAATGGGCGGACTTAACATCAAGCTGCCATCCGATCATGAAAGCTACCTAGAATGGACTAAGT